AGAGGGATGAGGCCTGTTTCCAGGGTGATATCCAGGGTGATAGAGAGAGAAGAGGCACTGAGGAAGGACTGGAAAGGAAGGAGGCCTGTTTCCTTGACAACTTGGACGTCCCAGTCAATGAGGAAAGAAATGGGACTCACTTCTGTGATGGCCTCACTGGAGTGGACGAAGACCAGAAACCAGCCACTGGCCAGCTCAGCTCCCCTTCCCATTCTGCTGAAGCTGTCACTAGCTGGCAGGCTGAGGTCTCCCACACATGTTCTGACTGTGGGCATTCTTTCCCCCATGCCACCGGCCTGCTGAGCCATGGGCCCTGCCACCCACCAGGCATCTATCAGTGCTCCCTCTGCCCGAAGGAGTTCGACTCTCTGCCTGCCCTGCGCAGCCACTTCCAGAACCACGGGCCCGGGGAGGCAGCCTCGGCACAGCCTTTCCTCTGCTGCCTCTGTGGCATGATCTTCCCTGGGCGGGCTGGCTACAAGCTTCACCGGCGCCAGGCTCATGCCTCTTCTGGCATGACTGAGGGCTCAGAGGAGGAGGGAGAAGAGGAAGGAGCAGCAGAGGCAGCCTCCACTCAGAGCCCCCCACTGCAGCTTTCGGAAGCAGAGTTGTTGAATCAGCTGCAGCGAGAGGTGGAGGCGCTGGATGGAGCTGGTTATGGGCACATCTGTGGCTGCTGTGGTCAGACGTATGATGACCTGGGAAGCCTGGAGCGTCATCACCAAAGTCAGAGTTCTGGGAACACCACAGACAAGGCTCCCAGCCACTTGGGAGAGTCAGGTGATGCCACGGGAATGGTTGTAGACAGTGTCTTTGAGAGCACAGTGACCTCTCTTTCTGGGGAGGGTGGAGACACAAAGTCTGGAGAGGGAATAAGTGCTGTGGTTACAGATGGCCTTTGCATGCAGGGTGAGGAAAGTTCTCTGGAGGCCCAGCCCCGCCCCTTCCGCTGCAACCAGTGTGGCAAGACCTACCGCCATGGGGGCAGTCTGGTGAACCACCGCAAGATCCACCAGACTGGAGACTTCATCTGCCCTGTCTGCTCCCGCTGCTACCCCAACCTGGCTGCCTACCGTAATCATCTGCGAAACCACCCACGCTGCAAAGGCTCAGAGCCCCAGGTGGGGCCCATCCCAGAGGCAGGAGGCAGCAGTGAGCCCCAGAACATGGGAGAGGACGGGCTGGCGCAGGCAGAAGTGGGGAAGTTCCAGGAAAAACTTAAAGTGGAGCCCCTGGAGGAGGTGGCGAGAGTGAAAGAAGAGGCATGGGAGGAGACCACTGTGAAGGGGGAAGAGATGGAGCCAAGGTTGGAGACTGCAGAGAAGGGCTGCCAGACTGAGGCCAGCTCTGAGCGGCCCTTCAGCTGCGAGGTGTGTGGCCGGTCATACAAGCATGCTGGCAGCCTCATCAATCACCGGCAGAGCCACCAGACTGGCCACTTTGGCTGCCAGGCCTGCTCCAAAGGTTTCTCAAACCTAATGTCCCTCAAGAACCACAGGCGCATCCATGCAGATCCCCGGCGTTTCCGCTGCAGCGAGTGTGGGAAGGCCTTCCGCCTGCAGAAACAGCTGGCCAGCCACCAGCGGGTCCACCTTCAGCGGGGTGGGGGTGGGGGCACCCGAAAGCTGACTCTGGAAGATCGGCCCTTCCGGTGTGGGCAGTGTGGACGGACCTACCGCCATGCTGGCAGCCTCCTGAACCACCGGCGCAGCCATGAGACAGGCCAGTATAGCTGTCCCACCTGCCCCAAGACCTACTCCAATCGCATGGCCCTGAAGGACCACCAGAGGCTGCATTCAGAGAGCCGGCGGCGGCGTGCAGGGCGATCCCGGCGGGCAGCTGTGCGCTGTGCCCTCTGTGGCCGGGGCTTCCCTGGCCGGGGACCTCTGGAGCGGCACCTGCGAGAGCATGAGGAGCAGACCAAAAGTGGTCGGGGAGGCTCAAGTGGCACAGAGCACAGTGAGGGAAACCTGGTTGATGACCAGGGACTAGAGAACAGATTGGGTGGTACTGAGCCAGTACCCCAGCTGGAGGATGGAGACATGAGGCCAGGAGAGCAGAGTCAGAGCCCCATTAGGGCAGTAGGTTCAGAAGCCACAGAGCCAGTATCTTGGGGCATGGGGAAAGCAGATGGGTTGCAAGGGGACAGTGGACAGGTGAATCATGATGGAGATTGGGTTCCTCAGGGTCATGTACTGGCCAAGCCAGAAGACAAGTCAGGGGACAGTGTTTCCAGGACTTCTTGCCCCCTTGGCAACAGCCAGCCCAATGGACCTAGTCTGAGTCACGTGGATAGCTGGGACAATGGAGATAGCATACCTCAGCTCCAGCCAGAGAGCCATCCCTTTTCCTGCAGCCATTGTGGCAAGACCTACTGGCAGTCGGAAGGCCCCTTGAACCACTACAACACCTACAAGACAGACCACCGCTATTGTCTGCTCTGCTCCAAGGAGTTCTTGGATCCTGTGACCACTAAGAGCCACAGCCGTAACCACATAGCTGCCCAGACCTTTGCCTGCCCTGACTGTGGCAAGGCCTTTCAGCACCACCATGAACTAACCAGCCACCTGCAGACTCATGCTAGGGGCATCAGTCAAGTGCCACCTCAGATAGAGGAGGCCAGAGGTCCCAAAGCTGGGACTGTGGAGGATGAGGTGGATCTCCCTGTCCAAGGAAAAACCCAGAAGGCCCCATCAGAAGCCCCCAGGCCTCCAGGAGAGAATGCTGGGAGAGCTAATGGAGGGCAAGGAGTAAAGGCCACAGCGGCTGAAGATGAAGAGCGGCCCTTCCGCTGTGCCCAGTGTGGGCGTTCCTACCGCCATGCTGGTAGCCTCCTGAACCACCAGAAGGCCCACACCACTGGACTCTATCCCTGTTCCCTCTGCCCCAAGCTTCTACCTAACCTGCTGTCCCTTAAGAACCATGGCAGGACCCACACGGACCCAAAGCGTCACCGCTGCAGCATCTGTGGCAAGGCGTTCCGGACAGCTGCTCGGCTGGAGGGCCATGGGCGAGTCCATGCACCCCGGGAGGGGCCCTTCACCTGCCCCCACTGTCCCCGCCACTTCCGCCGCCGCATCAGCTTCCTGCAGCACCGGCAGCAGCACCAGGAGGAATGGACAGTGCCAGCTCTGGTACGGGGGCATGAATGGGCTTGGGCAGAGGATCAAAGGGTCCCAGAGCAGGTAGGCACACAGTGGAGGGCAAAATCTGGCCCAAATGTGGGTGGAGGAGCAAGGAGTGAGAGAAGAGGGTCACATGGATTCCAAGAGGTGGCTAGGGGCTTGGATACGGAGTGAAGAAACTGGTTTGAGGATGCTGCCTTTTGAGTGGCTGAGATCTGAACCCCTGCGTCAGGTAAATAGATAGCATGGTGGGGTGGGGTGGGGTGGGGCAGGGAGTGGTCAGGGGCAGAGGCAGCTGTTTGGGCTCCTTTGCTGTGCTGGAGCCAAAGAGGAATGGTCTTTTTGTTTTAGGAGGGGAGGTAGCTGGGTACCATCTGGCTACTATATCTGGGAAACTTCCTGATCCAGCCAGTAATGATTTCCAGAGAAAAAGATCATTTAAGTTCTGCTCTTTCCTCGAGTAGGCAGGGACCCAGGGAATGAGGAAAGGGGCATGGGAGGCACCCCCAGACTGGACTGCTTTGTGGCTTCAGTGCTAACTTGGCCAGGGACACTGGGTCACTGGTTGGCTTCTAGCTCCCTGGCCTTCTTGGCCTGCATCTTATCTCTGCTCCCTCTCCTCTTTTCTTGGTAACTAGACTTTTGATCCTTTCCTACCAGTATTGCCCCACATCTCTTCCCTTCTGACTATTCAATCCTTTTCCTCTCTCTCTGCTGTGGATCTGCTTTTTAGGATCCAACCAAACCACTCTTTCCACCTGCACACCCCCCTCTCCATCAGCACACCTTTAACTGGAGGACTGAGTCATAGATAATTGTTTCTTTGAAGCTAGGCTCAACTGTAGTAACAACAGTCATTAACTCCTATCTCCCATCCTCTATCGGGGGAATCTCCATGGAAAGTCACCTCCACCCAGCCCTGCTAGAGAATGAGGCTGTGGAGGAGTGAGACAGCTTGTTTACTCAGCAAGCCCCAGGCTCAAGCTCTCCACCTCCTCTAGAGATCTGTAGCCTTTCTCTCAGGACCCATTCCATTTAGTGGCCACCAAGGGTTGGTGTCCTTGAGATGGTGGACCCTTGACCTGAGACTGTCAGGGAAAGAGGGAATGGTGGGTGAGATTCCTCTGAGAGGGCTGATGAGATGGCTTTCAGGATCAAAGATTTCTTGTGACCTCAAAGGAAATGAGCAAGGAGCCAGTTAGCCAGGTCTGAGGAAATAATTGGGAGTTCTCCTACAGGCCTCTGGAGCCATGGGCCGGGGGAATGGCCTGCAGGGCTAGGGAGAGGGGTGTACAAGCTCTGTGGGGTTTGCCACCCCCAGTCAGTGACCTCCTCTCTCTCTCCCCAGGAGCCCCAAAGGCACCAGCGATGGGAGGAGGGGACTTGTCATTGCCTCTTCCACCCACCCCAACGACCCTACTCCTGGACCCTTCCCCCAAGTGGCCTGCAGACCTCAGCTTCTCCCTCTGAACTTCAAGTCTCCAAAGATCAGAATGTGGGGTGGGGGGTGGGGGTATGTGTTGCAGGGAAAGGCTTGATTTCCATGTTTTGCTCAGGAGTAGTTTGGGCATCCCCATCTCTTCTCTCCTCTCCCCCTGCGAAGAGGACCCAGATCTGGCTTCTTTCCCAAGGAGGGGGTGAGGTGTTCTTCATGTTCCGGTCCTTGAAGGACTCCTTCCTCCAGCCTTTGTCACCATGCTCTTCTCTATGACCAGCCCCGCAAGAAAGCCGGTGCCAGGCTCTGGCGTGATGCTGGGCCACCCTTGCCAACCAGATTCCAATACCAGGGAGAGGCAGATTCAGAGACAGCCACAGTGGGAATGTTGCCTGTGGAAGGGGAGCCTTTTGCTACAATTTGTAACTTATTTTCTAAAGTCTATTTTGTAACAATTTATTTAAGTTTTGGAAAAAAGGAAAATTGCTCCCCCCAAAAAGAGAAATTTTCAAAGTTCATGGCTGGTGTGATTGTATCCGAGGGGATGAAGAATACGGAAAGCTGGGGATGCCTGCATTGGACAGCAGAGCTGGGTGTCGGGGATCTTCCACAGGTGACATCTCCCTGTCCTGCAGGGTGGGGAGTGGGGGCAGCTGCCGGTCCAGGCAAGCTCCTTCCCAGAGCCCCCTGGGCTGTTGGGCCTGCCCCAAGTGCCTAGGATCATGTGGGTGGGGGGACTGGGAGAGGGCAAGGGGCAGTGATGCAGGAATTGCCTCACTGTGTTTGCAGCATCCCAGAGCCACCTGTCAACAGCCAGCTGGTTGGCCTGTCAGCGAGAGGAAGGAGGTATAGGGTTGGTCTCATCCTCACAACCTTCCTCCCTCCCTTGAAGGAAGAGGACGGAGGTGTTACTTATCCCCTATGACAGATGAGAAAATTGAGGTTCGAAGAGGCTGAGAGACCTGCTCTAAGTCACACAATGACAAACAACCAGAATTTGAATCCAAATGGGTCTGTCCACTGTTGACCCCACCCAGGGCACCTACAGGTGGGTCAGAACAGGTCTTTTCCTAGATTGAGAGAGAAGGGGTCTGGAGAGGGAAGTGTTGGCAGGGAGGTCCCAGGGCCACATACTCCTGTTGGCCAGGCAGCTTCCAGTGTCAGCCTCTGGCTCCGGCTCCTCAGCGAAGTAGACCTGCCAGTCCAAACTGCTGACCCACTTCTCATAGGCGGGGAGCGCCGTGAAGACCGCAGGCCTTGCAGGGCCTTGACAGGCATCTCCAAAGCTGTGTAGCCCAGCCAGGAACCATGTGCCCCTCACCTCATGCACCAGTGGTGCCCCAGATAGGCCCTGTCAGGGGTCAGGTGACACTTGGTGACTTCCTTTTCCCCCAGGCAGCTGTTGGGGACAGAAGGGGCTAGGGGCTGGGCTGAGGCTCTGGCTGTTTGGGAGCCATTCAGCAGAAAGGCTGAGTTCCAAGTGAGAGGCAGGTGCTGAGGCCAAGCCTGGCAGAAGGTCTGTTCATGAGTTGCAGGGTGAGGACACTTAAAGAGTCTGTAGGGTGAGGTTTGGGGGACTGGGGCTCACCTCACAGTGGGGCGGCTCACCCACCACACTGGTACACACCATCCCTGGCAGAATGGTGATGCCATGGCTCCCAAGGGTTGTATGCAGCCGGCTGCAGGCCCTGGGCCCCAAGAGGGTCACAGGCACTGCCTGAGGGGAGCTGGTGCCTGTAGGGAAAGGAAAAGACCCAGCTGCCCCAGCGGCCTCTAGGCTAGATGGACAGCTGCTGGTGGTCCTGTCTGACATACCTGCTCCTTGGGCCAGCCCCAGGACCCAGCCACGTTCCCCATCAGGCAGGCGGTGGTCAGTGTAGGGCAGGCAGAGGGGCCGCAGGCTGGGGCCCAGTGTCACAGGCTGGGCCAGCAGCAGGAGGGCCACATCATAGCCCCCCTCTGGGTGGGTATAAGCCCCATGCAGGATGAGTTGCTTCAGGCCCCACTCCTCTGGTCCAGACCCCAGCCCTACACTCCATTCCTCTGGGGTCTGGCGCCTGTGCAGAAGCAGTGTTAACAGCTTTGGGTGGCAGGGCTGCCAGCAAGGGTGGGGGGGGCACAAAAGTGAGGGAGATAGGGCTCACCCAATGAAGCAGTGGGCAGCAGTCAGCACCACCTCCTCTGATATCAGGGCTCCGCCACAAGCCAGCTTCCCTTGGTGAATCAGCCTGGCATCCCAGGGCCATTGGGAGGGAGCTCCTGCCTGGGGACCTTCTCTCCTCAAGGAGCCACAGGCTGAAACAGACGATTACATCATTTGCCTTCTTGATACGTGCTCACTGTGTGCCAGGCCTGTGCTAAGTGCTTCCTACGCACTATCAAATCCTCACAACATCCTTTTTAAGTTGAATTTTGTTACCCTTGTTACCAAAGGTAACCAAAGTCCCAGAGAAGTTAAGTGACTTTCTAGCTTAGGAACCACAGGCAAGTAGCAAATTTGGGATTCAAAGGCCAGGGCTTAAGCTTTTAACTGATGGCCGAGTCTCATGGGAGTGGCCTGCTCATCACTTCCCTACGCCACCTGTCTGCATCCCTCTGGGCTTGGACTGGTCCCAGAATTCTTGGCTCACTAGTGCTTCTCTTACCATCGAGACATAACTTCCGTCTCAGGAATTATTTTGCATGCAATTTACATGTTAGTCACTTAATGCCAGATTTCTGAGTGGGAGCCCTGCCCTGTCCAATCTCAGCCAGACCTCAGAGACCCCTCTTCTTACCTAAACTCCCAGCCCATAAAGTTCTGAAGCATCTGTGCCTCTCAGCCCTTAAATGGGGCTGTTCTCATCCTAGGGGCTGAAATGGGCCTTAAAACCCCCCTAGTTAGCCCCTAACAGTGTATGGGTGCCCTGTATCAATTCTGTATTCCGAGCTGAAATTTGTTTCACTGTGACTTCCACCTGCTGCCCAGGAGTTCTCATGCAGGCCTGGGTGTCCCCACACATCCCACTCCTCACACCCCCTGTTCATACCTACACAGCTATCCTCATCACTGATCTCTAGCGTCTCTGGGTTCTGGGCCAGGAAGGCTGCCCCTTGAGCTCGGGCCTGCAGCCAGGAGCTGTGAGCAGCCATGTCGGTCAGCAACACAGGAGTGTCTTCCTGGGCACAGTTTGATGCGAAGCTGATGATCCCAGCCTGAACCCAGTGTCCATCAGGCTCGCGGCACAGCACAGGGCCCCCAGAATCTCCCTGGAGCCAGGCAGTGGAGTCAAAGACAGACACCTGAGCCCCAGCCCTAGGCTAAGGCCCTTCCACTGCGGCCCTTCCACCCATCCCTGTGGATCGAGTGCTCAGCCCAAGGCTAGGCCTCCTCCCCCTCAGACCTGACAGGGCCCCTGCACCCCAGGCTGGGCACCCCCACACAGCATCCCAGGCCGGGCTGGGCTGGCCAGCAGCCGCTGGTGCAGCCGGTTGTAGAGACAGTTACACGTGGGGCGGCTGATTAAACGCAGGCGCAGATTCCGTAGGGTCCTGGGAGCTGGCAAAAGAGGGGGTTGGGGCTGGAGTCTAGGCTCTGGGGAGCAGGGGAGACTGGGAGCAGGGACAGTTGGCAATTCAGGCTGGATGACCTTGGGCAAGCAGAGTGCCTCTGGGCTTCAGTCTGGGACAGCACTTACCATCACTGGTGTCCTGATCCCAGCCAGTGGCCCAGCAAGAGGTCCCAAAGGGGAAGCGATGGGCAGGTTGGGGCAAGCAGAGGGGTGTGTGGGCCACGGGGTGGGCAAGCTGCAGCAGGGCCAGGTCTGAGCCCTGGCTGTAGTGGTTATAGGCCCTGGGCAACTGCAGAGCAGTCACCCCCACCTCTTCAGCCCCTGGGCTCAGCCCCTCACGCTGCAGAGAACCCAGGACAACTGACCAGGAGTTCAGTTCTGTCATTGCTGCCCTGGAAGGGGAGGGACAAGGCCAGGCGTTGACTGCAAGGAGAACAGTGACACCATGGGAGATAGCACAGGTAGGTGAAAGATGGACAAATATCAGCCCATGGCTTTAGGCAAGGTCCTTCCTTCTCCCAGTCTGTTTTTTCACCTGTAACGCTTCTACCATGAAAGTTTGTTACGGCATATTCTCAATAAGTGGTACTTTGTTATTCTAAGGGCAGGGATCAGTTTTGCGAGGTTTGGGGACAAATTTTCCACCCCCCAAAGCCAGAAACCCTGTTTGACCCCAGCCATGACTCACTTTTCAAAGCAGTGGGCGGCAGTGAGGACCCAGGTGCCTGCCACGAGGGACCCACTGCAGACGTGGACCCCCTGCCTCCTCACACTGGCCTGCCACGGCCACTCGCCAGCCACCGTGTTGCCCTCCTGAGGCTCAGGGGGGCCAGGGCCGCGCTGCCCACACGCTGTGGAGAGGAGTGGGTCAGGGTGACAGCAGGTCCCTGCTCTGTTCTCACCCCAGGCCTGAGCTAGACCCAGGTAAGGCCCAAGCCCCACGTGCCCAGAGCTTACCACACTGAGCTGCTTGAAGACCTAGGAAGAGGGGGGACTCAGGTGAGACCTGGGGAAACCTTACCTGCCTGGCCCAGGTGGAACAGACAGGTTTAGGGGGAAAGGCTCTGGGTCCTTGCCTATGACTCTGTGGCTACCTCACCAGCCCCTCCCAGAATGAAAATATTTATATGAGATCAAGAAACAGCTTTTATTGGAACCTATTCACAGCGTACACTCAGTAATTAATCTCTGCCTCAGCTGTGCTCAGCACTCCTCGGCCTGAGGAGCAGGGCCTGGGGTTCCGCTTGGGACCAGGCCAACCCTCCTCCAGGCTTCAGAACCCAGAACTTCTGCCCCCACCTTGAGTCAGGGAGGCGGCCTCGGTATGTGGAGAGCATTAGCTTAATTGTGCCCTCAGCCATGGAGGCCTAAAAGGAAGGATTAGAAGCCTGTGTCACGTCCAAATAGGGGAGGGCTCCAAGAGATTGAGACACACCCCACCCATTCTGGCGACTCAGACTCCCCGACCTTTCCAGAAACTGCCAGAAACTCTGCCAAAGGGTCCCCTGCCCTGCCTATTCCCCATCACAGGCACACACAAACACACCCATTGAACATCTGAGCCAGGAGAGATGGAAGATATGTAAAGACGGGGAGACTGATGCCAAAGGGCCCCAGAACTTGGCTAAGGGCCATCTGGAGGTAGAGAGGCAGGCAGGGTGGAGGGTACACACACAGGCACAGTGACAGTTTCTGAGGACACAGACTGTAATCCAGCCCAAGAAAATCACCCATTTTGACACAGACGGCCACATACACCTCCCCACACACAGAACTAGACACAGTTACATCGCCACAGGCAGACTGTTCCCTCACACACACCACGCTTCAGGGGCTGCTTGGACAGAGGGTGGCCCATGAACCCCCACCATACCACTTCTGCCCCACTCAAAACAGATAGCTCACCCTCTGTGAGGACCACTGCTCCCAGAATGAGCAGCCCTGATCCCCAGCTCTGCTTCATGCTGCTCCAGGCTACTCTACCGCCTGTGCTCTGGTTCTGAGAGGCCACCTGGGTCTTCCTAGCTCCACCCCTGCTCCGCCCCCAGTTGGCTAGGAGTCAGATGTTCTTGCTTTTCCTGAGTTGGAAGGGAGCCAGCAGATCCTAGTTCTGGGGCTGTGGCTGTGTGACCCTGGGCTATCCACCACTCCTCTCTGGGCCTCAGCCATGGCCAGACTGCCTGGGTTCAAGTCCCATTTCCCTCACTTACTACTTGAGTGACCTCGGACAGTTAGCCTGTCTGTGCCTTGTGTGAAAAACTCAGAATTGTTGAATCTGAAAATGCTTAGTCCAGAGCCTGGCATAGAATGAACTTGCTCCCAGCATGGAAACTCTCCTCCTGGAACCGTGAAGGGCACATTGTGCAGGAGCTCCCAGTTCTTACTTTGCAGCTTCCTTGCCTCTCTGCTAGGCCCAGGTCCAAGTGGGTTTCACATAGCTTCTCCCATCTTGCTTCAGAATCAGTGTGTGCAGAGCTGGGTGTCGAGGGGCTACGACTCTGCTACTTGCTGGCTATGAGACTGGCAAATCTTAGAACCTCTCTGCCACCGTCCTGGGAAATAGGGTTATAGTGGTCCCTGCACTTCTGGCAGGTATTGGAAGACTCAGTAGGAAGGAAGAACACTCAGGGTGCATCCTTTTTTTCCTGACTTCTAACTCAGGCCAGCCCAGGCTGTGCAGGAACCCTGACCAACACAGAAGCAGCTGTGGCTAGGGTTAAAAGCACAGAAGCGAGCCAACTGGCCCCAGTGGACTCAAATCCTGAGGACTCCCTAACACCCTCCCCAGCACTAGCTGTGTGATCTTAGGCAAATTACTTAGCCTCTCTGTACCTTAGTTTCCTCATCAAGAAAGGGGTAATAACAGTACCTACCTCATACACTTGCTATGAGGATTATGAATTAACACATGTCATGTTCTTAAACAGTGCTTGGCCTGTGGGTAAGTGCTCGGTACAAATTAGGGAAAAATAATACAAAAACTGTTCCTGGCCCTCCAGGGCTGCCAAGATTGGCCTGGGGTGGTAGATAAGGCAGCCAGAGGGATTAAGGTTAGACTAGGAAGAACTTCCCAGCAAGCATGCACAGAACCAAAAGGGCAGTTTGCCTTTGCAAGTATGTGCTTGGCCCTCCTGGGAGAGGAGGCCTGGCCCCCGTGGGAAGCAGGGATGAGCTGCTGGCCTGTTTCCTGGGGGTGGGGGCTGATGACACTCCAGGTTTTGCTGACTGCACACGTTGGAGAAGGGACTAACCACCCTTCCCAGGCAGGCCCTCCACTCTTCCTCTGACTCATATCCTTCTAGTCCCAGAGGAGGCAAGATTGGGGAAGCCCCAACACGAGGGTCCCTGGCAGACAGATGGCTCAGACTTGGCCAATTTATTTAAGAAATTTTATTGCTTGGAACCTTCCCTCCTTGGGTAACAGCAGGAGCTTTGGAAACCAGCCCTTGGGGACACAGCCAGAAGCACTAGAGTGGAGGAAAGATCATGGCACCTTTGGTCCATTGTCCTGTGTGCGAGTATGGTGGGGGGTGGGTTGCAGACTCTTCTGAGGACCCAGACATGGCGCCCTTGGCAAGGCTCACATGCCAAAGCAGAGCAGATGAGGTCAGCCTGGCTTGGCATGAGGGCTCAGTGCCCCTTAACCTTGCCTTGGGGTCCCTGGACCTCCCGGAAGCTGAGTATCATCAGGCCCACATTGATGGCATAGGTGGTGATGCAAACGATGCAGAAATCATAGAGCACGAAGAATAGGATCCAGGCCAGGTAGAGAGAACCAGCGAGAGACACTAGGGAACTCAGCAACAGCAGAGTAGATGCCCAGCGGCCCTGCAGGCAACCTGCAAGGCAGAAAAGGATCAGGCATGGGCTTTAGGGACTGGCCACCTCTAGAACACTGCCATGACTTCATGGTGCCACCCAGACAGCAGGGGCTGCTGAGGAATAGTCTCTAAAATGAGGCTCTGACAGGCCGCACATAGGCCTTGGTTCTCCTATGTGTTCAATGACCCCTGGAACCCAAATAGGGAATTTTCCTGCTGAGCTCTGCATGAGAAGAGTCAGGCAATCCTTGGATTCCCCATAGAAAGGAACCTTGGAGTCTTTTCCACAAAACTGGGCTCCTAGGAAGTCTTTAAGAGCCCTCTGGCTCTGACAGTAACTAAACAAATAGAAAGATTCCTGTTAGTTCCCGCCCCCACAGTGCTCTGTGATGAGCAGCTGGCTGTCTCCTGTTTGGGATAGGGGGGCGAGGGCGCCTGTCACGAAGGGGCGGGGCCTGTAGGGAAGGGGTAGGGCCCCTCACCTAACAACAGCTGTAGTGTGTAGAAGATGCAGCCAAATATGCTGTTGGATTGATTGAGGATGCTGTCCCGGCCTAACACATGTTCCACGAGTCCGAAGCCCCGGCCCCACCTGGTGGAGGGGATGGCCCAGGTTAGGAGTGTCAACCCTAAACCTTGGGCCCTGTCCTGGAAGGGTGATTTCCAAAAAGCCACCTAGGTTGTCCTCCTTCCCCTCCTCCCCTTTCCCCCAACCCCCGCGTGAGTCCAAGGGTCGATGACCTCCTAGCATAGCCTCCCTTTGGCCAGGTCACAATTTCGTGTCACCGCCCTATCCTCAGGCCAGGCCTGGACATGGCTCCCCCATAGGACCCTCTTTTCATCTTAGACCTTCAATAATTCTTAAGATGGCAAAGTGGGTATAAGAGTTCACTTTGCTTTACAGAGTTAGCAGAAACTGGGAATCCAGGGCAGAATCTCTCTGCCTTGGACCCCTAAATCTCCAGCTCCCTGGCCATCCACTCCCTCCTCTGTAATCTTTCATCCCACTAACTATGCCCTCATGCATAACCAGACTTGGCCACCTTATCCCCAGGCACAGCCATTTCAGTAGTCTCTACACACTACCCCACCTCCCCCTCCTGCCTGGTCACCATTACTACTTGACATCAGGATCCACATGCTATACCCCAGAATAACCCCAGTCACCAACACTATCTGCCCGCGCCCCACACTCCTATCTCGAACACACCCGTTTCGCCAGGCAACGCCCCCTAGAGCAGTCCGGCCCCCATGCATCCGCTCCACTGGCACCCCGATCCCAGACTCCAGAATCATCTGGCAATCTGGCATCCATGCAACGCTCCCACCAGCAGCCCGGTCCCCTAAGCTTTCCACTCGCGTGCGCACCTGGAGGAAAAGACGCGCGAACAGCTGATGGCTGTGCCCACGTCGCAGAGCGCGCGGTAATCCTTGTCCCGGGCGCGCGCCGCCTTCACGTGCAGTGCGTAGAGAGAGAGCATTAGGCCTGCGAGGCAGAGCGCGAGCCGCACCCATCCCGGGCTCCTCCAGCTAGCGCCCATGTCTTCCGGTCCCGCCCGAGGCGCCAGCCGTAAGGGCACCCGCCACGGAGCAGAAGCAGAGCAGGATATGGCCACGCCCTCTCCCGCCTCTCTGCCTGGACGATTGGCCTGCCTGGTCTCGCACTCCCTGACCTAATTGGTTGTTCCCAGGACTTGACAGGCATGCTGGCGAGGCAGGAAAACAGCGAGGAACGCCGGAACTGGAAAACCAGATAAGGGACAGGGGTTATTACGGACCAGGTGGTCCGCTAGGCATGATGGGAATTGTAGTCGAGGTGGCCGCAATACCTCAAGGGAAATGGAGTCTCCGGAGTTTAATAAATTATATTAATATGGCTAACAGTATAGTATAGCGCCTACTCTATGCCAAGCCCTGTTCTAAGCGCTGGAACATCCAAGATTTAGAGGCCAGCGGATCAGGGAATCCAGCGAATACTGCGATACGATCAAGAACAAAGCATTTTCCCTGAAACTGTTATTTCAGATATCATTAGGACTATAACCTCCATTCCTCTTAGCCTGCTCAGCCATTTCCTCCTGCCTCACCAGCGCCTCCTGCGGCCGGTCTCTGTCTCCTTCTCTACTTTAAATTCCCGGCTCCATCACCTCGCCCACGCTCTTGACAGTATCCTAACCTCTGTTCTCTTGTGGCGCCCTCCTTGCAAAACCTGAGCCTGAGTCAACCCAACGGTCTCTCCTTTCCAAGCCTTTGGTAGGCTAGCTGAGCTCTCCCCTTCACAGACGTGGCATCTATTGATGACTCATCTCTCCCATACCTCTCCTTCCTTCCCATCTGCATTGAAACTTGCTTCTCTTTCCCATTTTAGAAACAGCAGCAAATCTCCCTTCACAATCAAGTTTTGGGGAAGATTTTACACTCCCAGTCTCTACTTCCTCACTTCTTCCTTGCTGCCCAGCACACCATAAACTAGCTCCTGCCCCCAACACTCCCCTGACAACTAACTGCTGGTGTTACCAGGATGCTAAATCCAGTGGATATTTTTCAGCTCTTATGCTTGACCTCCCACCAGTATCAGTCACGTTTAGCACTCCTTCCTGGGAACTCTCTCTTCCTCTGGCTTCTATGATATTTCACTCTCCTGCTGCCCTTCCTGCCTCTCTGGTTGCTCCTTCTCAGACCCACTCCTCTTCTTCCAGACAGTCTGGTCAGCAGAATAACAGCCCCCAAAGATGCCATGTCCTAATCCTGGGACCTGTGAATATGTTAGGTTACATGGCAAATGGGAATTAAGGTTGCAGATGGAATTAAGGTTAGTTATCTGATGATTTTAAAACAGAGAGATCATCCCATGGGTCCAATGTAATCACAAAGGTCCTTAAAAGTGAAAAAGGGAGGCAGAAGAAGAGAGTCAGAGGGAAATGTGAGTACGAAAGAAAAGCACAGAGAGATGCAATGTTGCTGGCTTTTAAGATGGAGGAAGGGGGCCATGAGCTAAGGAATGTGGGTGGCCTCTAGAAGCAAGAAAGGGCAAAGAAATGGATTCTCGCCTAAAGCATCCAGAAAGCAACTGTTGAGATCGTGACTTTAGCCCGGTAAGACCTATGTCAGACTTCTGAACTACAGAACTGTAAGATAATAAATTTGTGCTGTTTTAAGCCATTAAATTTGTGGTAAGTTGTAACTACAGCAATAGGAACCTAATACAGAGGACTAGGATTTAGGCCTGTTTCTCATCTCTTTCCACAGTCTCCTGGAGTGTTTCTGTTGTCTATGGCTGGCTCCCCCCAGAATGAGTGAACTAAGAGGGAGAAAGATGGAAACCACGATATCTCTATGACTTAGCCTTGAAAGTCACACACTGTCATTTCTGAATTATCTTATTGGGTCATGTCAGCCCTATTCAGTGTGGGAAGAGACCAAAGAGTGGTATGAATACCAGGAGGTGGGAATCATTGAGGATTTATTGCCGTTCAACAAACCAACACAAAAATAATGACTTAAAACAGTAACAATCATTTTATTTTCTCTCGTAGGTTTTATGGATTAGGAATTTGGGAAGAGAATTTTGGCTGGGCAGTTCTGGCTCACATCATTGCAGTTAGATGATGGCTAACCCTGGAACAATGGCAGACTGAGGCAGCTGATGGATAACCTAGCAGTACTCTCTCTCTTCTTTTTTTTTTTAAAGATTGGCACCTGAGCTAACAACTGTTGCCAATCTTCTTCTTTTTTGGTTTCTTTCTGCTTTTTCTCCTCAAATTCCCCCAGTACATAGTTGTATATTTTAGTTGTGCGTCCTTCTAGTTGTGGCATGTGGGACGCTGCCTCAGCGTGGCCTGATGAGTGGTGCCATGTCCGTGCCCAGGATCCAAACCAGCGAGACCCTGGGCCACTGCAGTGGAGCACATGAACTTAACCACTCAGCCATGGGGCTGGCACCACTCTCTCCCTCTTCTTGTAGTATCAGGAGCTATTTATGTATCTGTGTAGTGTCTTTGAAGGGGCAAGTCTGGGCTTCCTCACAGCGTGGCAGCCTCCAGGCTACAATAGCCAGCTTCCAAAACTGTCTTCAATGATTTCCATCTCCTGGTACTTTTACCATTGTGTGGTCTCTTCCCACACTGAGCAGGGCTGACCTGACCCAATGGGATAATGCAGAAATGATGGTGTGTGACTTTCGAGGCTAAGTCATAAAGATATTGTGGCTTCCATCTTGCTCCCTCTTAGATCACTCACTCTGGGGGAAGCCAGCTGCCGTGTTATGAAGACACTCAAGCAGCCCAAGAGAGAGGTCCATCTAGTGAGGAACTGAGGCCTCCTGCCAACAACTAGCATTTACTTGCTGGGCATGTGAGAGAGCCACGCTGGAAGTGAATTCTCTAGCACCAGTCAAGTCTTCAGATGACTGTAGTTTTGGCCAACATCTTGACTGCACCCTCATGACAGACCTGAGCCGGAACCACCCAGCTAAGCTGCTCCCAGCTTCCTGACCC